ACATACCCCTATACACATACTCCTATACACATACCCCTATACATATACCCCTATACACATACTCCTATACACATACCCCTATACACATACACTTATACACATACTCCGATACACATACTCCTATACACATACCCCTATACACATACCCCTATACACATACTCCTATACACATACCCCTATACACATACACCTATACACATACACCTATACACATACCCCTATACACATACCCCTATACACATACACCTATACACATACTCCTATACACATACCCCTATACACATACCCCTATACACGTACACCTATATACATACCCCTATACACATACACCTATACACATACTCCTATACACATACCCCTATACACATACCCCTATACACGTACACCTATATACATACCCCTATACACATGCACTTATACACATACTCCTATACACATACCCCTATACACATACCCCTATACACATACTCCTATACACATACTCCTATACACATACCCCTATACACGTACACCTATACAGGTACACCTATATACACACCCCTATACACATACCCTTATACACGTACACCTATATACATACCCCTATGCACATACACTTATACACATACCCCTATACACATACTCCTAGACACATACTCCTATACACATACTCCTATACACATACCCCTATACATGTACACCTATATACATACCCCTATACACATACACTTATACACATACCCCTATACACATACTCCTAGACACATACTCCTATACACATACTCCTATACACATACCCCTATACACGTACACCTATATACATACTCCTAGACACATACCCCTATACACATACTCCTATACACAAACCCCTATACACATACACCTAGACACATAACCCTATACACTTACTCCTATATACATACCCCTATACACATACACCTATACACATACTCCTATACACATACCCCTATACACATACCCCTATACACGTACACCTATATACATACCCCTATACACATGCACTTATACACATACTCCTATACACATACCCCTATACACATACCCCTATACACATACTCCTATACACATACTCCTATACACATACCCCTATACACGTACACCTATACAGGTACACCTATATACACACCCCTATACACATACCCTTATACACGTACACCTATATACATACCCCTATGCACATACACTTATACACATACCCCTATACACATACTCCTAGACACATACTCCTATACACATACTCCTATACACATACCCCTATACATGTACACCTATATACATACCCCTATACACATACACTTATACACATACCCCTATACACATACTCCTAGACACATACTCCTATACACATACTCCTATACACATACCCCTATACATGTACACCTATATACATACCCCTATACACATACACTTATACACATACCCCTATACACATACTCCTAGACACATACTCCTATACACATACTCCTATACACATACCCCTATACACGTACACCTATACAGGTACACCTATATACACACCCCTATACACATACCCTTATACACGTACACCTATATACATACCCCTATGCACATACACTTATACACATACCCCTATACACATACTCCTAGACACATACTCCTATACACATACTCCTATACACATACCCCTATACATGTACACCTATATACATACCCCTATACACATACACTTATACACATACCCCTATACACATACTCCTAGACACATACTCCTATACACATACTCCTATACACATACCCCTATACACGTACACCTATATACATACTCCTAGACACATACCCCTATACACATACTCCTATACACAAACCCCTATACACATACACCTAGACACATAACCCTATACACTTACTCCTATACACATACCCCTATACACATACACCTAGACACATACTCCTATACACATACCCCTATACACATACCCCTATACACATACACCTATATACATACCCCTATATACACACACTCCTAGACACATACTTGGGATGCTCAAAGACTTACAGGTTTTAGTAAAATGGTGTTCCTCCTGCATTATGTGACTTACAATTAAAATAAAAGTACACTCCTAATCTAATAGTGCTCTAGTGAGGAATGAGAACCAATAGCTATCCTATCGGCAAAATGTTAGTTTTTTAACATTTGATTACCAAAATGATTCACTCCTAGTTGTATGAAATGGGTTACAATGCCAGTTCAGTTGTAATGTAACCCAGTTTATCTTGGAAACAACTGAGTATTTTGTGTGTTTCGAGGCGGCTCACCTTGACGATCGTGTCGTGATTGTCCTTGAGGTATGTTAGTCTGCACTGGTAGTCCTTACGCTGTTTGTAACCTTTCCAACAAGCCTGAAATCATCAGGGAACAAACATGAATGTCACACAGACATTATAATACCTGTACTTATAGGCAAACAGCTAATATTCATGTATTATCTGTATTTTTCCATGACTAGCAGGTGTGTATTTATGAGTTACCTGTATTTTGGTTATGTCTAACAGGTGTGTATTTATGAGTTACCTGTATTTTGATTATGGCTACCTGTATTTTGGTTATGGCTAACAGGTGTGTATTTATGAGTTACCTGTATTTTGGTTATGGCTAACAGGTGTGTATTTATGAGTTACCTGTATTTTGGTTATGGCCATTAGCTGTGTATTTATGAGTTACCTGTATTTTGGTTATAGTCAACAGCTCTGATTCATGAGTTACCTGTATTTTGGTTATGGCTGGCAGTTGTGTATTCATGAAGTTAACTCTCTCTAGATAAGCTTTCCTGGCCAGGTATCCTCTCACACAAGACTGTATCCGCACAATAAAATTCTCGTTGGCTTTGAACAAAAGTTCTCTGTCATATTCTGCAGTAACTTCTGATACTACTTTCTATGAAGAAAAAAAGGAAAAAGAAAACAAAAATATTACAACACAATATCAGACCTTACCCTGGCATTATAAGACACTGATTTAGCTATGTTAGGGAATATTACCTGAGGGAAAACTTCAGACATGGAATAAGTTTTCATAGTTTGTTTTTTTTAATTTGTAAGTTTCTCTACACCGAGGTATTAGGAATGGGACCTATACTTCTGGGCCCTATCTGAAGGACTACTGGTACACCAAGGTACTAGGAAGTGGACCTACACTTCTGGGCCTTATCTGAAAGACTACTGGTAGAGAACTCTTTTGAAACGTGTTATTCATTGTATGACTTATAAACCTGCAGGTGACACATCACTCTGTCAAAACTCCAGGCAGGAAACAGTCTTTGTCACAGACCTATTTGCTATGGACACATTTTCATTACATTAAAACATCATTTATTTGGTTATTAAGATAAAAATAAAAGTACCTCATACAGACATTTGACAGAAGTCAGCCTACCTGCACCTCCTCCTTGGTGAGAAGTGACAGACATTTGACAGAAGTAGCCTACCTGCACTTCCTCCTTGGTGAGAGGTGACAGACATTTGACAGAGGTTAGCCTACCTGCACTTCCTCCTTGGTGAGAAGTGACAGACATTTGACAGAGTTTAGCCTACCTGCACTTCCTCCTTGGTGAGAAGGGACACAGACAGACATTTGACAGAGGTAAGCCTACCTGCACTTCCGCCTTGGTGAGAAGTGACAGACATTTGACAGAGGTTAGCCTACCTGCATATCCTCCTTGGTGAGAAGTGACAGACATTTGACAGAAGTTAGCCTACCTGCACTTCCTCCTTGGTGAGAAGGGACACAGACAGACATTTGACAGAGGTAATCCTACCTGCACTTCCTCCTTGGTGAGAAGTGACAGACATTTGACAGAGGTAAGCCTACCTGCACTTTCTCCTTTGTGAGAAGTGACAGACATTTGACAGAGGTTAGCCTACCTGCACTTCCTCCTTGGTGAAAAGTGACAGACATTTGACAGAAGTAAGCCTACCTGCACTTCCTCCTTGGTGAGAAGTCCGTGGTCTTTAGATGCACCGTCTTGTCGACTCCATGCATACTCCTGGTCGTGGGTGTTATAGAAAAACTTCGATCCATCCTTCAAACGGTTCATCATCCAGCCACTCCCACACTCTCCTGTTACCATGGAGATGATAGAGTACGTTACCAATCATGGCAGTTTATAATCATACATAATTACTGTTTTGTTTTCTTATGAATGTGAACCAGCTTGTCTTCCTATATAATAATCACAGGACAAGATAACCATTTTTTTTTCTCTCTTTTGAGTTAAGGATTTTCCTTTCTGTTTCCGACAATAGAATTCTCTATATAAGCGATCATAGGTTTGCCATACTTACCTTTCTGAGTCTTATCGTCTATTGCCTCTAGTAGTCTCTGTAGGTACATGTCTTTGCAGTCAGGAACAACACTGTGTAAGGCAAGGTCACTAGAGGTCAAGGACTCCAGAAGTAGGTCACTGTCATTTTCACCAGAAGTTTTGTTAACTTCTTCAACAGCCAAGGATGCTGAAAGTATAAGAAGTATTGGGCTACGGAAACTCTCATATTTTGTCTAATGTAAAACTAACACACAGAAACAAACTTTCCACCTTATTCTCATCAGATGTATAAATAGAAATATTAAAGGTTTTAAACCATAACACATATTTACAATTGTAAAAAAGAAGTAATTAGGAAATTATTTAACGAAATGGGTAATTTTATGTGTTTTTTCCCCTACAAAATCAATTAGCTGTGTCCTGTATCTCTATATTAATTCCATAATTTCAATAAGATATGATAATGGTGAACGACTAAAATGCATCATGATCATTACACATTTAAACGCATCCCTTTGTAGTCAATGATAACTATTAGACGATATTTAATGACTTTCCCATTGAATACCTATATATTTCATGAGTATGGTAGAATACCAGTATTTTTCATGAGTTTGATTCATTAGTGAAAATACCAGTATAATCCGCCATACATATAAATACAGGACTCACTTTTCAGTCCCACTTCAGCGTCTCTGTTAGCGTTTCCAATGGCGTTCTGAATCTCCTCTACCCACAGTTCAACATCCCCATCACTGGAGTCCTGCTGTAAAACAGAACTTTTCATAATAGATTTCAATTTTTATAGTGAAGGAGTCAATTTTCAATTGTCTAAGCTGTTTATTTAGACACACAACACTACTGTATATTGTATTCACAGGGGCATTTTCCTAACTTGATTTGAGGTTTTTGAAGTAAAACCAATTTTCATGATGTAATACTTACCATAACTTTAGTATGCATAGACAATACCTACACCCATCTTTGTAGCCCAAAAACAAAAGATTCAAATATCCTGACCTCCCTACCGTGACGTAACCCATATCTCGACAACAGAGCCACGGAGTGATCTCCCTTTCTCAAACCCCTTTTATGGAGCCTAAAGGCAGATGGGATGAGGAGGCAAGGGGAGGAATACAGGGTGGGACTCCATAAAGTTATGGTAAGTATTACATCATAAAAATTGGTTTTACTTCAAAAACCTCAATTTCATTTCAGTAATAATTACCATAACTTTAGTATGCGAATTCGTCTTACCGTAGTGGAGGCTTCGAATCCAGGCAGACCAGGCTGAGGGAACAAACTCGAGACATGCTCAAGGTAGGTAAAAGGTTCAAGGAACCCCCCTAATAAAGCCCCGAAAGTAATTAAACAAGAGGCCCATGGGCCTTCACGGTCACCTGATATATTTATACAGAGAGTTGATTTTGTTTTTAACATGTACAGAAACATTATTCAAAGTGACAAAAAACAATAAAACCACCTTATTCAATATCTAGCATACAGATTTAAGACAAAAAGTATTTGAAACTAGCACCTCTGATTCTAAAAAAGGAAAATGAAGAAATTTTAGCACACTGACTCCTTTGGGCCCCACCCTACAGCCCTTGGGGGAAGGGCTGGCTCAAAATTTTCAAAGTATCAAACTGTCAACTCAAGGTTATAATTCCAATCAAGTTATTAACATGTAATATTCAAAGTATCATTTGCCATTATAAACCATAATAATTTTTTGAAATTTCAGTCAATTCAACCCTTTTTGGCCCCACCCATCAGCCCCTGGGGGTCAGTCAGGGCTCATATGTGCATACTATCAAACTGCTACCTAATACTGATAATGCTAACCCAAATTGAATTACTTCCAATGGAAATTAAACAAATGTTGGTCCAAAATGTGATTTCCCTATATAAACTATAGTAAAGTTTACCCCCTCCCCAGGGGGAAACGTGAGACCCCAGGGTCAAGAAATTCACAATTTCGGTAAAGCACCTTAAGACCCTTCCATCTATGAAGAGTATTTGATTCTACCATATCTGGGTCTTGAGAAGAAGATTTTTGAAATTTCAGTCAATTCAACCCTTTTTGGCCCCACCCATCAGCCCCTGGGGGTCAGTCAGGGCTCATAGGTGCATACTATCAAACTGCTACCTAATACTGATAATACTAACCCAAATTGAATTACTTCCAATGGAAATTAAACAAATGTTGGTCCAAAATGTGATTTCCCTATATAAACTATAGTAAAGTTTGCCCCCTCCCCAGGGGGAAACGTGAGACCCCAGGGTCAACAAATTCACAATTTTGGTAAAGCACCTTAAGACCCTTCCATCTATGAAGAGTATTTGATTCTACCATATCTGGGTCTTGAGAAGAAGATTTTTGAAATTTTATTCAATTTGACCCGCCCCGCCCCGCCCCGCCCCTCAGGCCCCTGGGGGCTTGGGATTAAACCGGCCACTTTTTTTGTTGACCTTTGTCCATGGAAGGTTCCTGCAAAATTTCATTGAAATTGGTTCAGGGGTTTTGGAGGAGAAGTCGAAAATGTAAATTGTTTACGGATGCACGACGGACGACGAGGCGATCGCAATAGGTCACTTGAGACTTTGTCCCAGGTGACCTAAAAATGGAAAACCTCCCCGTGAAATGAGCAGGTGTACCATCGTGGTGCCTGATAGCATACTATTTAAAATCACTGAATTACTGTGGAGGAACAGTCACAGACTGTGCAACCACCACCGGTCCAAGGAAATACAATCCATCAGAATGAGAAGCCAAGGACCGGAGATAAAAATCTGTGAAAGTAGTCTGCTTGCGCCAGAAAGCCACGGACATGACCTCATGAAAGGGGGACCCATTGAGGAGGGCCCATGACGCAGCAAGGGTCCTGATCTCATGAGCTAGCACCATATACAACGCCCGAACCTGATCATCCGAGTGGTCATAACCGTACTTGATGACCTGACAGATCCAACTAGACACAAACTGAGAGGAGATATCCTGCTGACCCAGGGCAAAAACAGCCCCCCCCCCCCTAAGCGCCCGACAGGGACAGAGCAACCTATCCCGTTCCTCAGACCCAACGAAGGCAGTCAAAGACGGAATCTTAATAGGATCGGGTGAGAAGCCAGATTATTAGCCATGAAGGCAGGATCAGTGAGAAGGGTAACGGCAGAGTAATTCCTGGACCACCGGAAGCAAGAGGGCAAGACAAGGCATAAATCTCACTCCTCCTTCGATCTGAGGCCAGGGCAATAAGGAATACCGCCTTGTAGGTAACAAACTTCAAGGAGGCAGACACTAAACGCTCATAAGGTGCCCGCATCAGCGATTCGAGCACCAGTGGCAAATTCCACTGCGGAGCCAACTGCCGGACCCTAGGCCTGTCCAACCCAAACCCCCTAATCAAGGCAGAAAGAGAGGAGGACGAGCCTACCTCCGGCCTACCCTGAATAGAGAGAACACTAGCAATGGCCGTGGACAAGATTGCGGTCCCTAAACAGCCAAAGAAGGAAGTCTGCAATCACCTGGACAGTAGCCTTGATCGGATCAACCTTCCTACCGACACATTAATCACAATAAATCTTCCATCGTGACTGGTAGACGGCAGATGAGGAAGACCTAATTGATCGAGCGATGCAATCTGACATGTCCCTAGAAAAGCCCGCCTGAGTGAGGCCTCCTGAGATAGCTTCCTCGCGTGAAGGTGGAGGATCTCCGGAAGAGAGTGCATCATCCTGGACCGAGGCTCGTGAAGGAGGTTCGCTCTGAGAGTGAAGTGGCGAACAGGTCTATGTGAGGCCTGTCCCACACTTGACAAATTCCCTCAAAAATCGAGAGATTCAGGTGCCACCCCGTCAAAACCGGCTGGCGGTGCCTGGAAAGAGTATCCGCCAGAACATTCAACCTGCCTGGAAGATGCTTGACACAAATTGTCAACTGCATTTCCTGACAAAGAAGAAGAATGTGGATAGCGAGGGCACACAGGGTGTGAGACCTGGTTCCCCCCGTCTCTCCAGATACACAATAACTGTAGTGTTGTCCGTAGCCACACAAACCACCTTGGAATGCAGGATCTCCTGAAGAGACTGCAGAGTCAACAGAACAGCCCTCATCTCAAGCACATTGCTGTGCTCCGAGAGCTGTTCCCCAGACCACCCCCCCGACCGGCAATGCCCGTCGAGGTAAGCTCCCCACCCTGTCATGGATGCATCCGTGTACAGGGTCATAGTGGGAACCGGCTTGGACAAAGGAACCCCTTGGAGAATATTGTCCTGATGAGTCCACCAGGGTGCAAACTCATTGACTGACTGGTTCAGAGGAAGCCAGACTTCCCAATCCCTTGAAGAAGGGACCCAATCGGCAAGGAAAAACGTCTGGAGAGGCCTGATGTGAAGTCTCTCTAAGGGGACCACATCGGCCAGGGCGTTGAGATATCCCAAAAAACTGAGAAACCAACATACCTGGACTTGAGACCGGCCGATGAAGGTCAGAGCAAAAGCCCTGGCCTTCTTGAACTTCTCCATCGGTGGAAGGGCGATGCCCTGAACTGTATTAAAACAGTTCCCCAAAAAAACCAAATCCTAAGATGGGGAAACCTTCGACTTTTCTGTGGAAGGAATGAAGCCGACCTTCAGTAAAACTTTAAGAACCAACAGGGTGACCTGCACCAGAGACTCTCTCACTAGGTGGAGCATGAGGGAGTCGTCGAAATAGATGTGAACATCTATTCCTCGAGAATGCAGGAATCCCACGACCACCTGCAGCAGCTTGGTGAAAACCAAAGGTGCAGTCGTGAGCCCTAACGGCATAGCCAGGAACTCGAAGACCTTTTTGTTGCACATAAAACGGAGGTACTTCCGTGCCGACTTCTTGATGGGAATGTGGAAGTAGGCGTCTTTCAGGTCGCCCACATTCCCTCTCTTACAGAGGCGATAATACCCTGAGGAGTCTCCATCTTGAAGTGAGGAGAATCTACGTGCCTGTTGAAGGCACTTAGATCTATGATGGGACGGCACGCCCCAGACTTCTTCCGAACCCGGGAGTGCATGTCGACATAGGAACCTCCTCGACCGCTTCCTTGGTCAGCATGGTCCTTACTTCCTCCTGGAGCACCAGAGCCTTTTCCGGATCCCCCGGTGGAGGAAAAACTAATGGCTCTGACGCTAAGGGCGGATCCCGCTCTAGCGGAATGCCTAACCCCTCCTTGACCAGGCCCATGCGTCTTCCGTAATTTCCTTCCACTCTGGAAGGAACGCAGAAAGACGACCCCCCACAGGAAGATCTGGTCGAGGCAGATCGAGACCTTGCCAGGCAAGAGAAGCGTCTGCTGACCTGAAGCCTAATTCTGCGGGAGAAGGACCTAAGCTTGAGCCGAGAGGACTGCAGTCCCCCCGGCCAAACTCGTCGTCTAACATGACCAAGGGGGGAAGAAGAGTGTCAGGAGACCTTCTTCTTACCCCCAGGAGGGTTCTTACCCTTCCCTTTGTTGCCCTTGAAGGGAGGCTTATACTTGGTCTGCACAAAAGACTGCGAAGCCGAAGGTTAAGCCTTCTTCTGAAGAGGCGCTGACCCCTGCGAGGTACTGGCCTTCTCAGCCTGAATCCTCTTCACCAGAAGTGCAGAGGCGACCGAGTCCTCCTTCTGAACAGAAGGAAGGACCCAAAAAGAGTGGACCCCGATAAGACAGAATCTGGATGGAGAGACGCAGCAGTCTCTCCATCTTGTGGTGTTCTTTGGGACCAAAAACCACCTGGTCCACCGATTTACCGGGCCAGGCTGCAAGTTCCCTCGATTCCAGCTTAGCTGGTTGAGGGGCAAGCAGGCCAGGCCCTCATCCTGGACATCTTCCTCAGGACCTGAACTCGACAGAACAGGCCCGGCACCAAGACTGTCCCCAGCGACAGCACCACCTGGAATGCTGGGATCACTGACAGAGTCAGTGACCGGTAGTCCCTACCCGAAGGCAAGCGCGAAAGCTTATGGGCGCTCCCGGCCAATTCGACTCTGGGCTGTGCCAAGCCAGGGTCGGGCTGCCCCTCCTTTACTCCAGGGAGTTCCTGAACAGGAAGGGCTACCCCAGAGACAGTACCACCAGACCCCGGAAAAAGCAGACGAATCTTACGGCAAGCTGTGGGACGCTTGGGAACAATGAAGGCCTTGTCCTGAGATTTAGTCTGTGAACAAAGAACAAACCTCACTTCAAGGATGACACTGGGGACAAGCATCACGAAGAAATGGGAACACCTATGAGCTGTCCCCCGTCACTGTCCCGACCGAGACATACCCTCCAAAGCGAAAGAAAACAAAGTTTACAAGCAGACAAACACGGGATTTTTTTTTATAAAATACGATAGTACAAAGTACGCAACGTAGAAAGAATTTCACCCGTAATAAGAATTTGAAACGGTTAAAATATATAACGTTTGCCGAAACAAACAACCGTCACTGAAATAAACAGAGGTCGAAAATTTTCACACAACAATGGCGGAGTGCGTGGCACACCACCGGCACATGTGGAGTAAAATAACCGGCTGTAAAAGGCACAAAAATAATTTTCAACAATAAATAATTGTAGTAACAAGGGCAGATGGGTATAAAGCACACAAACTGCACAATAAATTGAGTTGACACTCAAACCAAACCGACAAAACAAATTTTTGTTATGAAGCTAGCTCCGGACCGTCAGCAGGCGCAAAAAAAGGAAGAGGAAGGGAGATCACTCCGTGGCTCTGTTGTCGAGATATGGGTTACGTCACAGTATGGAGTCAGACCGCTAGGCCATTACAATGATCTAGGCAAAATCAGCCTGGTAGAACTTCCTGACCACTCACCTGTTCCTTGGACGCGACTTCCCGACACAGCAGCACCTGGTACCTGTAAGCATTCCCATCATCCACTTCCTGTAATTTGGCCGTAGGTTCCTTGAGGGCGGATAAGGTCACCTGGGGGTTGCCTTGTTTAATGGCGTTATTAATACCCCCTATGGCTAGTACTCCTGCAGATCACAAAGTGTTGATAGGTGTACATATATCATATACAGATTTAACCAATTCACAAATGTTCTGAGAACTTTTCATTTTTGTATTTAATTTTTTCAACAATAAAGCAAATTTAAATATTGTATTGATATTTTCCCCAGCCTGTATGCTTGGTTTGGTTTGGTTTAATTTTGTGTAACGTCCTATTAACAGCTAAGGTCATTTAAGGACGTGCCTCCATGTGTGTAGTGTATGCGTGCTAGCGTGTGTGTATGCAGGAGACAGTATGCATCCTTCTCAAACTGTTCTGTTATTCACATGGTTTATAAGTTTTCACTTGCAGAAGTGACATGACGCCTGTAGAAATGCCTATTTGTACTTGCACTTCTGTTTATGGTTACATACATTAGTCACAGTAGCCTACAAAGATGTTCAATATAGTTGCCATGGTAACCTACAGACATTCAAAGTAACATACAGTTGCCAAGGTAACCTAGACATTCAAAGTAACATATAGTATCCATGGTAACCTACAATGATGTTCAATGTAACATACAGTAGCCATGGTAACCTACAATGATGTTCAATGTAACATATAGTAGCCATGGTAACCTACAATGATGTTCAATGTAACATACAATAGCCATGGTAACCTATAATGATGTTGAATGTAACATACAATAGCCATGGTAACCTTCAATGATGTTCAATGTAACATACATTAGCCATGGTAACCTACAATGATTTTCAATGTTACATATAGTAGCCATGGTAACCTACAATGAGGTTCAATGTAACATACAATAGCCATGGTAAGCTATAATGATGTTCAATGTAACATACAGAAGCCATGGTAACCTACGTTCGTGTTCCTCGGAGACTTGCTGGTTTACTTGGTCTACGCATGAACAGATCTCAAAGTGAGTCAGCAGTGTACAAGGCACCTACAAAACAAAAGTGTACATATTACACAAAAAGATTAAATAGCTGTCACCCTGACAACACAGGGAAAATAATCAATAATCAATACTCTTGGGAATTACACCAAAGCTTCCATATATTTTTATTCTTACCCCTGGGAGGATTGAAGTTTGTCATAATTTAATGTCTAACTTTGTATTTAAACTATGACAAGATTTTAAATAACGAAAATAGAGGGCCCATCAGATTGGTCCTGCCAGATCAGCACACATAACATGCCAGAGTTGAAACAAGAGATCCCAGAGGGAACTTGGCGCCCACCTTTGTACCATCTTCATTAGTTCTTTGTCAGTTCGATCTTTTCTCATCTTTCCTCTAATCAGTTTGATCGAGTCATGTTAACAGTAAATGCACCTTGAGGTAACTTTTGATCTAAACATAATACTGATGTGTATGAAAGCCAACTTTCAAAGTGAGTTTGTCATTTCACATATTACCTAGTACTTAATGTGAAAGAAATAGAATCGATCATTGCAATATGAGAAAGATCTGTTAAGTTCTTCTTTTAATCCATTTTGTTTTTATGATCAGTCTCAAAATATAACATGCACAACGAGGGATCAAGGGGAATCTACCTCCCGTACTTCCCGAGAAATAACGATAACAAACTTTCAATATCAAAATCCAAGATGTCTGCATGTCGACCATGTTGTTTATCCGATCAGTCTCAAAATTGGACCTGCACAGCTCAGGACCAAAGGACTCTTACATATAAAATTTGAGAAAGATCCCTCTGGTACTTTTTGAGAAATAGCGATAACAAACTCTTAATATCAAAATCCAAGATGGCTGCCTGTCGGCCATGTTGTTTATCTGATCAGTCTCAAAAGTTGCCCTGCACAGCTATGGACTAAGGGGGACCTACATATAAAGTTTGAGAAAGATCCGTCTGATACTTCCCGAGAAATAGTGATAACAAACTTTCAATATCAAAATCCAAGATGGCTTCCTGTCGGCCATGTTGTTTATCCGATCAGCCACTTAAATTGCCCTGCACAGCTATGGACTAAGGGGAACCTACATATAAAATTTGAGAAAGATCACTCTGGTACTTCTTGAGAAATAGCGATAACAAACTTTCCCTATCAAAATCCAAGATGGCTGCCTGTCGGCCATGTTGTTTATTTGATCAGTCTCAAAGGTTACCCTGCACAGTAAAGGACCAAGGGGAACATGCATATAAAATTTGAGAAAGATCCCTTAAGTACTTCTTGAGAAATACCAATAACAAACCTTCATTATCAAAATCAAAGATGGCTGCCTGTCGGCCATGTTGTTTATTTGATCAGTCTCAAAAGTTACCCGGCACAGTAAAGGACCAAGGGGAACATGCATATAAAATTTGAGAAAGATCCCTCAAGTACTTCTTGAGAAATGCCAATAACAAACTTTCACTATCAAAATCCAAGATGGCTGCCTGTCGGCCATGTTGATTATCCGATCAGTCTCAAAAGTTGCCCTGCACAGCTATGGACTAAGGGGAACCAACATATAAAATTTGAGAAAGATCCCTCTGGTACTTCTTGAGAAATACCGATAACAAGAATTGTTTAAGGACGGACGGACCACAGACCACGGACGCAGGGTGATTTGAATACCCCACCTGATAATGATGGTGGGCTAAAAATAAATCTTACAAGTTTCTAAAAGGAAGTGTAATTTATAAGCTGTCAGGCCTTAATAAAATAACATTACATAAATACAAGCTACTGGTAATAGCAGAAACAGTGTACATGAATGATAGGGACACCATGGAAAATGTCATGCCAAAACATAGAAATGTTCTCTATTAAACCCGTCTAGATTATCATCACTAGGTTAGGATGTCACGAGTAGAGACATTAATCCTATATCAGGTAGGTAGTAATGACAGGATAAATTAATTCTATATCGGGTAGGTAGTAACGACAGGATAAAAAGGCAAAGCATTGCAAAGCAATCCATAGTTAGTAACACATATTTCGCACAAAGGGGCATACCTCCATCAAAAAGGGTCGAAATTCCAAAATTAAAATGCCGGTGCACAACTACATAAGATACTGATCATTCATGCAAGGTTTCAATGAAATCCACCCGTTAGTTATGAGTTACATGGACAAGTATTTTGCACAAAGGGGCATAACTACATCAAAAAGGGTCAAAATCCCAAATTTAAATGCTGGTGCACAACTTAACAAGATACTGATCATTCATGCAAAGTTTCAATGAAAATCCACCTGTTCGTTAAGGTGGAGTTGCGCGGACAAGTATTTTGCAAAAAGGGGCATAACTCCATCAAAAAGGGTCGAAATCCAAAAATTAAAATGCCGGTGCACAACTACATAAGATACTGATCATTCAAGCAAAGTTTCAATGAAATCCACCTGTTAATTAAGGAGGAGTTTTCCGGACAAGGTACTGCGGACGACAGACAGACAGACAGACGGACAGGGTGATTCCAGTATACCCCCCTAACTTCGTTGCGGGGTTATAATTAATCCTATATCAGGTAGGTATAGTAATGACAGGATACATTAATTCTATATCAGGTAGGTAGTAATGAAAGGATAAATTAATCCTATATCTGGTCAGTAGTAATGACAGGATAAATTAATCCTATATCAGGTAGGTAGTAATGACAGGATAAATTAATCCTATATCAGGTAGGTATATCAGGTCATAGTAATGACACGATACATGTCATGTGTAAGCTTGCAGAAGTTTCTCCTTTTTTCTATGAAGTTCTGCGGCAACAAAATGTATAATGTTGGCTTATAGAGGCAATATACAGCAACAAGAAACACATGAATTATAAGTGCCATAATGCATTAGCTAAGGAGTGTTTACCCACTGGATATTATGATATTTATGTTTTTTTGGTTTGTATCTGTGTTCAACTTAGCCTTGCCAGATTCAACTCCAACACACCAGAATATCATATCTAGTCAGTAAAACTACACTTACAAATCTTAATGGTCATATCTAGTCAGTAAAACTACACTTACAAATCTTAATGGCCATATCTAGTCAGTAAAACTACACTTACAAATCTGAATAGTCATATCTAGTCAGTAAAACTACACTTACAAAACTTAATGGTCTTATCTAGTCAGTAAAACTACATTTACAAATCTTAATGGTCATATCTAGTCAGTAAAAAAACTACACTTACAAATCTTAATGGTCATATCTAGTCAGTAAAACTACATTTACAAATCTTAATGGTCATATCTAGTTTGTTATACTCCACTAACGAAACTTAATGGTCATATCTAGTCAGTAAAACTACACTTACAAATCTTAATGGTCAAATCTAGTCAGTAAAACTACACTAACAAAAAACTTAATGGTCATATCTAGTCAGTAAAACTACACTAACAAAACTTAATGTTCATATGTAGTCAGTAAAACTACATTTACAAATATTATTGGTCATATCTAGTCAGTAAAACTACATTTACAAATCTTAATGGTCATATCTAGTCAGTTACTCTATTAATATTAACAGTACAGTTGCACATCATCATTATTTGGAGAAGTCATGCAGATATGCTATAATACAACAGTGCACAGGAAGAAACAGCTGGTCCAATAAACAGGTGCAATGCATTGTATCGTTAGAGCTGACGCAGTAGGCACCTTGTGAGAGATGTTGGTTGCTTTACTGTCACATGAATCTCATTCAAACAGAGAAATTAAAATAAGAAACCTGCACATTATCTATATTGAATGCAAAGCAGACAGCACAATGTGTAATGTACACATATCTTACTGAATAGGGTAATGTTCGTGAGTGAGCTCAGTTTAATGTGTTTCTATAGTGAAGATTGAACACATATCTTACTGAAGAGGTATAATGTTCGTGAGTGAGCTCAGTTTAATGTGTTTCTATAGTGAAGATTGAACACATATCTTACTGAAGAGCTATAATGTTCGTGAGTGAGCTCAGTTTAATGTGTTTCTATAGTGAATATTGAACACATATCTTACTGAAGAGGGTAATGTTCGTGAGTCAGCTCAGTTTAACGGGTTTCTATAGTGAAGATTGAACACATATCTTACTGAATAGGGTAATGTTCGTGAGTCAGCTCAGTTTAACGTTTTTCTATAGTGAAGATTGAACACATATCTTACTGAAGAGCTATAATGTTCGTGAGTGAGCTCAGTTTAATGTGTTTCTATAGTGAATATTGAACACATATCTTACTGAAGAGGGTAATGTTCGTGAGTCAGCTCAGTTTAACGGGTTTCTATAGTGAAGATTGAACACATATCTTACTGAAGAGGGTAATATTCATGATTGAGCTCAGTTTAACGTGTTTCTATAGTGAAGATTGAACACATATCTTACTGAAGAGGGTAATATTCGTGAGTGAGCTAAGTTTAACGTGTTTCTATAGTGAAGATTGAACACATATCTTACTGAAGAGGGCAATGTTCGTGAGTGAGCTCAGTTTAACGTGTTTCTATAGTGAAGATTGAACGCATATCTTACTGAAGAGGGTAATGTTCGTGAGTGAGCTCAGTTTAACATGTTTGTATAGTGAAGATTGAACACATATCTTACTGAAGAGGGTAATATTCGTGATTGAGCTCAGTTTAACGTGTTTCTATAGTGAAGATTGAACATATTTCTTACTGAAGAGGGTAATGTTCGTGAGTGAGCTCAGTTTAACGTGTTTCTATAGTGAAGATTGAACAAATATCTTACTGAAGAGGGTAACTGTTCGTGAGTGAGCTCAGTTTAACGAGTTTCTATAGTGAAGATTGAACGCATATCTTACTGAAGAGGGTAATGTTCGTGAGTGAGCTCAGTTTAACAGGTTTCTATATAGTGAAGATTTGCCCTGTAAATATTAGTATAAACATGGATTTCATGAGTGTAAACAGTTTTTATATTTAACATTATCTACATTGACTAATGGATATGGTTAGTATAAAGATGTGCAGCCTTAACTCACACAGTATTTAACAGCTTATCTAAAAACAAGTTCTCATTCTACCTATATCTCAATACATATCAGGTTCATATAAGTATTCTTCATATAAGTATTCCTCAAACAAGTAGCCTACTTACCTACGCTATAGTAGAAACAAGTGGCCTACTTACCTATGCTATAGTAGAAACAAGTGGCCTACTTACCTATGCTATAGTTGAAACAAGTGGCCTACTTACCTACGCTATAGTAGAAACAAGTGGCCTACTTACCTACCCTATAGTAGAAACAAGTGGCCTACTTACCTATGCTATAGGAGAAACAAGTGGCCTACTTACCTATGCTATAGTAGAAACAAGTGGCCTACTTGCCTACGCTATAGGAGAAACAAGTGGCCTACTTGCCTACGCTATAGTAGAAACAAGGGGCCTACTTGCCTACGCTATAGTAGAAACAAGTGGCCTACTTGCCTACGCTATAGTAGAAACAAGTGGCCTACTTGCCTAGGCTATAGTAGAAACAAGTGGCCTACTTACCTACGCTATAGCAGAAACAAGTAGCCTACTTACCTACGCTATAGTAGAAACAAGTAGCGTACTTGCCTACGCTATAGTAGAAACAAGTAGCCTACTTACCTACGCTATAGTAGAAACAAGTAGCCTACTTACCTATGCTATAGTAGAAACAAGTGGCCTACTTACCTACGCTATAGTAGAAACAAGTAGCCTACTTGCCTTCGCTATAGTAGAAACAAGTAGCCTACTTACCTACGCTATAGTAGAAACAAGTAGCCTACTTACCTATGCTATAGTAGAAACAAGTGGCCTACTTACCTACGCTATAGTAGAAACAAATAGCCTATTTACCTACGCTATAGTAGAAACAACACTAAGGCAACCTTCAAACATGTTACACTATCAAGCTAAAATGTTTAAATTTTAGATTGACCTATAACAACAATCAGTGACGGGCAACCCTTCAAGTCAAAAGTGCATTTTCAAGATGGCCACCAAGCAAACAAACCAAAATATTACAGATAGAATTGATTAGACCATAACCATGGGAACCAGGTAAAATTGTAAATGGGATAGTGTAATTCAAAAGTGTGTTGAATACTACATATAGGTCGGTAAACCAAGGCCAAAAGTGTTTTAAAACGTACATCTATCAGACTAAAACATCCTTGTTTATAAAAGGTTATTTCGTTTTAGATGTTACACTCTGATTTTTCCCCGCCGACATGTATTTAGATGAGAATTGTGTCAAAATTTGAACCCAAAATGGTGTCACAAGGCCCTTGCTTGACGCATTGGATTGTACAAATTAACATGACTTTACTAAGAATCAACTTTCAAATTGTGCATTATCCCATCTGTACTGATGTATCTTATCTAGGCCAAATAGTATTCTAATTTTTCTCTCCAAAATTCTTCAATGATTTCCTTTCATTTATGCTGAATCAATAACACATCAATAAGACCAGCTCCCCAGAGTGCTGTATGACTTATTAACGTCAATGATAAAGAGAGTTTCAGCAATTAATAAGGGTCATGCTTAAAATAGCATCAGGCATAGAAAGAAATCAAATAAAACTGCAATTCTAAGCTTAAGTTCCAGTGTTCGCTCTCAATTCAAGTAGAGTAACTCCCCCTGGCACCATGCATACGCCCAAAAGAAAGCTATATAGGTAGATATTATAGAAAAGTTGTTATAGGCAAATACATAATGTAACAAGATAACAGTTCAACTATTAACTCACACCAGCTGTCATAGCCGATTCATCATCTGCCTCTTGAATACTCTGTTGAAAAAATACAATTCAGGTTCAAAATCCAATCTGTTCCTTTCATCTATACCTTATGGTATGTAACCCACTCACTATAACCCTGTAACTCATCAATCTGATATAAAAACCGAAAATATCAAGATATTGAGATTTTTTGTTGTTTCGAAAATTCATTTCCTTAACATAACTGTCTGGTTTTATAAGAACCAGCTGGTTGTTTGTTTTAGATTTAAATCAAAGTTAGATGACAATGGTGCTTACACAACATCTAGGGTCATTACCTTAATTTTAAAAACTCGTGCAAAAAAACAATCGCATCATTATCTGTACCAACTACAAAATTGCTATTTTTCCTACCTCCGTTTTTGTGGCCCTCGCGTGGACCAGTCCTTTCTGATATCTGTCGAGGTTCTGATCTTCCAGATTTGGAATGCAAGCGTCTTCATTTGCAAGAGCCTTGAAGGTCGCGTCTTGATCACCAACTTCTACTGCTTCATTGATTGCAGCGACCGCCGACAATACTGGAATATTATATTTCATGGATGTAACAATTTAGAATTCCATAAAAAATCCCTGTTAAGACCTCCTCTTTTAAACAACCCTTTGGTCTTTGCCTTGCAACTGTGTTGGCAACTTTAAATGTAATTATTATTTATGATGTGACCAGCTGTCTCATTATACTCCCCTAGCCCTGAATTTTACACAGTAAATAAATGTCACCCATAAGTAACATAACTCTGATGGCACAGTAGGTAAATGTTGATGAATCCTATCAGAACTAAAAACTTTGCTCATCATTCTTACGAGGTTTACTAGAAAAGAAAATCATACATTTTAATATTTTATGAATATCAAAAAAAATAACATAATATACCTCAAACGGAATGAACAAATCTGACCAACTTATTTTGATAATTTCACAAGAAGTGAATACTTCTCCATTAAGTGGAACATCACAGGATTTTTTACCCTTAACAGCCGCAAATATTTCATCATAGTCCAGGTCGTCCTGTAAAACACAAAACAATGACCATCAGTTACACTCATGAACAGTTATCAAGTTACACTGATAAATAGTTATTAAGTTACACTCATAAACAGTTATCATTACACTCATAAACAGTTATCAAGTTACACTCATACACATCATCAGTTACTCTCATAAACAGTTATCATTACACTCATAAACAGTTATCAAGTTACACTCAAAAACATCCTCAGTTACTCTCATAAACAGTTATCATTACACTCATAAACAGTTATCATTACACTCACAGACAGTTATGAAGTTACACTCATTAACATCCTCAGTTACTCTCATAAACAGTTATCATTACACTCAAAAACAGTTATCAAGTTACACTCATAAACATCATCAGTTACTCTCATAAACAGTTATCATTACATTCATTAACAGTTATCAAGTTACACTCATCAACAGTTATCATTACATTCATCAACAGTTATCATTACACTCATAAACAGTTATCATTACACTCATCAACAGTTATCATTACACTCATAAACAGTTATCAAGTTACACTCATAAACAGTTATCAATTTACACTCATAAATATCATCAGTTACTCTCAGTAACAGTTATAATTACACTCATAACAGTTATCAAGTTACACTCATCAACAGTTATCATTACACTCATCAACAGTTATCATTACATTCATCAACAGTTATCATTACACTCATAAACAGTTATCATTATACTTATAAACAGTTATCATTACACTCATGAACAGTTTATCCTTACACTCATAAACAGTTATCAAGTTACACTGGTAAATATCCTCAGTTACACTCATAAACATTTATAAAATTACACTCATAAACAGTTATCAAGTTACACTCATAAATATCATCAGTTACTCTCATAAACAGTTATCATTACACTCATAAACATCATCAGTTTCTCTCATAAACAGTTATCATTACACTCACAGACATCAAGTTACACTCATAAACAGTTATCAATTTACACTCATAAATATCATCAGTTACTCTCATAAACAGTTATCATTACACTCATAAACATCATCAGTTACTCTTATAAACAGTTATCAAGTTATATTTATGTTGAATAATAATTACCACGTTCATATTCCTATTGATAAAATATCCTTTCTTGGGAAGGTGCTTCGTTTCAGTCAAAAAGTGTAAAATGTCCAACCTTAACATGATCAGCTGTGAGACTGATAATCAGACAACTTTAGGTATGGACAGGAAATTACACAAAAATAGGAGCACTGTGTAATAACTGTAGCAGACACAAAGTTCCATGTTTTGTGTAGTATTAATTCTACCTGTTTTTCTTGTCGCATGTTGAAGAACTCCTCCAGATAGAGGACATCGCCATAGGGAATTACAGGTGGTAGCTTGGCTGCAGGGTTCTGGAGAACCCTCATGAGCACCGCAGGGTCCCCGCTATTTATAGCCGTATTAATGGCAACCACACACTGAGCCTCTAAATAAAGAAAAACAATGACCTTTTTTTTCTTTCGATATTGTAAAATATCTGGTCTTTATCAAATAACAAGTTAGCTTGTTGGTTCAGAAAATGCAAAATACTTTTAGTAAACTAGCATATGAGCTAATTCTTAAGTGAACAGGAAAATTCACATCAGACTTTTAATTATAAATTGTCTATTATACTTGAACTAATATGAAGTGAACAAGTTGCATACAAAATGATGATGATGTTTCAAAAGAGTTCAGCATCATCTCATGCCCAACAGGTTACATCCTTTGACATATGTTGACAGCATGCGACTCCTGCTGTTGTCTTATCAAGTAACTAAGAACAATTATACCAGTGGAAATTGAATAACTTATAGTCATTGGAGAACCATAGCAGTGTGATTAACTCATAGTGACTAGTCCTAAATCTCTGAGCAAACTTTGATTTAAAAATATTATCAAAGGGTTATAAATAGTGAGGTATAAACCTTAGTAGGTGACCGAGACGTACCCCAGATACACTAAAGTCGGCCGGCCCTAGAGGAACTTAACACCAAACATGAGTAGGTGAGCGAGACGTACCCCAGGTACACTAAAGTCGGCCGACCCTAGAGGAACTTAACATCAAACATTAGTAGGTGAGCGAGACGTACCCAGATACACTAAAGTCGGCCGACCCTAGAGGAACTTAACACCAAACATTAGTAGGTGAGCGTGACGTACCCCAGGTACACTAAAGTCGGCCGACCCTAGAGGAACTTAACACCAAACAT